GGGGGGGGGGGGATGCCCACGCTTTCATGTCACATTGAGTTGTAATTGCAGAATGTTGGGTGGTGGTGCGAATTTTCACCTGACTAATCCCACAGCATGAACAAGCTTTAGGGTTTCTAGACCTGAATTATAATGCCGTTGCAGGCAGTCTAGGTAGGATATTCTGTGGCTCGGAGTGGAACTTCTCCATATCCACTGGTAAGGCAAGGAAAACAGCTAAAAGATTACACTTGGATTATATTAAGAGCTAGGAATCGTAAATATTTTATTTTGAGAAGCCATTGTTTTTTGTTGCACATGGTTCTTCATTTTAGGAAAAATTATTTGTGCCTGTTTCATTTTAGGAAAAATTATTTGTACCTGTTAAAGCCACAGAAAGAATGAGAGAAAAATGGAGAGGCCAGAAGTTATGAACGTGAAGTTGAGAGAGGTTGGAGAGGGTTATCTATATCTTTCTGAAATTTTGATTAGATGGGAGTTGAAGAGGGAGAATTGTAGGTGTTGGGACACTTCCAGAACAAAATTTAATCCCAGAACATAGGCTAGTGGCTCTTCCTGGCTTTCAGATGAAGTCCAAACTCTTCAGTTTGGCCTTTAAGGTGTTCAGCAGACTGGCCCTAATGTATTTTTAACACTTGTATCTCTCAATATGAATCTACAAAAGCCAGAATGTCACTTCATTATGTACTACCTGATAGTACTATCTTTCTATACACATACATTGCTCCCTTTAGCTAGATTATAATCACTTCCAGAGCAGGGGCCTGGTCTTATGCTTAGCTGTTTAAGAATCTTGGTTTTTAGTAATGGAATGTCTTTTTCTATTTATTTTGATTTTACCTAGCCCAATTTGACAGCTTCTTTCTTCATGAATCCCTGAAGCCCTCAGTATCCCACAGAAATCCTCTTCTTAACTAAGGCCTTCAGCATTTATTGCCTATCTTAAGTACCTGTTTGGTTAATAAAGTATTTGTTGTCGTCTAATTGTTAAATACTTTAAGAAGTTAAACTACTTAAATATAGGGACCAACTCACATTTTTGTTCAACTTTTAGCTGCTGTCACAGAGAATGTGTAATAAATACTTTGTTGAATGGACAGTACTACTTAGATTTGGGAGACTTTTCTCTGTCATTAAATAGATTGTTGTGTCCACAATAAGGTTTTGTTTTTGTTTTCTAAACACTTATCAGGAAAGGACTTGTGTGTTCTCCAGTATCTGTAAAACATATTCTAGTGGGAAAGTATCTTTATTAGGTTTGATTTATGTTACTGTATTTGATTAACAGGGCAACAGGAACATGATAAAGAATCAGGAACCTCAGTTGAAGAGGTAGCAAGACAGTTGGAAAGACAAGCATTGGAAGAGAAAGAAAGAGATGATGACGATGAAGGTAAATAGTTAATTTGATGTTTGTGGTTAGAAAAGCAAGAAAATACGACATGCTTTTCTTGATTTGAAAGAGAGAGAGAGAGAGAGAAACATCAATATTTTGCCTCCCTTACGTGCTCTGACCAGAGACCCAACCCGAAACCTGGGCATGTGCCCTGACGGAATCAAACCTGCCACCTTTCGGTATACAGGTTGATGCTCCAACCACTTAACCACATCAGGCAGTACATGACATTCTTTAAACAGAATCTGCTTATTTGTCCATATAGTCTATTATTTTTTGACTTTTTATTAATTGATAAGACCTCAATGTCACAGATAAAAAGGGACAGGAATTTATTAGCAACTCTAAAAAGTTGGGTATGTTGAATGCTCAAATAACACAGTTTTCAACTTTTAAAAATGTACTTGGTAAAAGGCCAACTAGTGAGTGAGAATTAATAAGATGAAATTGTAGGGTTGTTTATTTAACTTTTATTTAACATTTATTGAACAACTAATATCTACTAGGCACTATCCTAGGATACTTTCACACGCATTTTCGTTTTACCCTCGCAAAACCGAATAAAGTAGGTGCTCTTTTCAGAAAATGATAGTTATGTGATTTTCCCAGTGTGACGCAGCTAGTATGTGTAGAATAGAACCAGAGTTTCAAATCTAGCACTTGGATTCCATGTCTGTTCCTTTTACTATCTGTACCAAAGCTATCTTTTTTTTATTTTCAAAGGAACATATTGGAGTGCTTCTGAACTCTGTTATAAATTCCCTGATCCGAGCTCCTTGTGGTAATTTGGTGCTGTTAGATTTCTGTAAAGATGGCAACTCTTAGAATTCTAGGAACTGATGCTATCAGTAAGACAGTGGAGGAAGAGATTAAGTAAGAGGACTATTCTGCAGCATCTTTTGGCAGAGGGAGAGATGGGGCTTTCCCAGTGTCAGTTATCTACTGCTTTGACCTACTGCTCTACCTTTAAGCACTGCCAGCTTGGGCTTTTGCCTTCCAACCCTTAACAACAAATACCTGCTATATTTTAATTACTGTGTTAGGGTAATGCAGAGCAGTTGTTTTTCCTTTAGAAAGGTATGTTCTGCCTTTTAAGAAGCTTAGAGTCAAAATTTGGTTAAAAAAGTACCAAGATTCAAAGGGATAGTTACCTCTTCAACTTCTTTAAGCAAACCTCTTGTTCATTCTACCTTTGGTTATGCTTCAGATTATGAACATATTTTGAGCTCTTAACAAGAAAGGGTATTATAGATTCAAAGTAATATAATAAGTTGCTATAGACCTTCTGTGTGTAGAATATCACAGTGCTGATCTTGAGTGTGCCTTGTTCCATTGCACCTCTATACAGAGTTGTGTGACTCTTAACATTGAAGGGGGAAACTTTTGCTTGTCTGATTGGAAATCTTCAATGTATTAAAGAAGATTTTAGGGTTATTAGTTTTCTCCAATTTTGTCTGTTTTCCTAATTCATTTCAATAATCAGGATCAGCTAATAGTACTAATCTGGTGTGAGTGGTCTTTGAGGGGATGGAAAGCTAGTAAAAGGAAAACTGATGGTGTAGTGGAGAGACAAAACCTAGAGGTGAGAAGATAAGCCACAATAAAGTTTATTGAAATTTGGAGATAGAATAGTGGGCTGAATGCTGAAGGAAGGCTCATTGGAAGGAATAGGACTTGAATTAAACCAAACAGAAGGAACCATTTGGGGGTAGGATAATGTTAGAAAGTCTTCAAAGGGCAATGAAAAGCGCAAATTGGTCATATAGTCATATAAGACTCATTGAGGGAGGCTTTGAGCATTTTTAAAAGAATGTTACGAAAAAATTTTTTAGTCTTCATATATATGCACAATTGTTAAAGAAGAGGAAATATACAGGAAAGGCAGAGAGATCATTTTGGAGGCCACTTAATAGCCCATGCCTGTGGTATGGCAGTTGGTGGGCATAAATGAGAATGGAAAGGAAGGGTCCAGTGGAACAGTGGTATGGAAGCAAAATTCAAAGGACTTAGAGACTTTCAATCTGGGGAGAAGGAAGAAGGAGATGCAGGGTTGAACTTGGGTGTCAGGATGTTGGTGCTTTTAACTGAAATGATGAAGTAGGGAGGGAGAGCTGGTTAAAAGATTGGGAGGAGTTTCAAGCAAAAAAGAGGGTATTGAGTTTTATTTTAGATGTGTTTCATTTGAAACTGGAGGTTTTGATGTGAAAAGTTAATCCTGTGGGCATTTGGCAATGTGCTAGAAGTAATTCAATAAATTTTTAAGACAGGTTTATTGAGGTATAATTTGCCTAGGATAATATTCACCATTAGAAAAATAGACTTTATATTTTAGAGCAGTTTTAGGTTCACAGGAAAAATTGAACAGAAGGTACAGACAGATTTGTCATATTCCCTCCACCACCAGGCATGCATATCCTCTCCCATTATCAACATTCCCTCATGGGAGTGGTATGTTTATTACAGTTGATGAAGTTACACACATCATCATTATCATGCAAGGTTCATAGTTTTTATTACGGTTTACTCTTGATGTTGTACATTCTATATGTTCACCCTTTTTTAAATGTATGGTGAATTTTGACAACCGTGTACATTTGTGTAACCACCAACACAACCAAGATATAGACCACTTCCATTTAACATTACATCTCCACAATAAGTTGTCCTTTGCTCCTTTGTAATCCTCTTCCTTCACACCCTGACCCCTGGCAACCACTGATATGTTATCTGTTCCTTTAGTTGTTTTCTGCAATATATAAATGGAATTATTATATATGCAGCTTTTTTGTATTTTATTTGTTTCATTCAGCGTAACACTTTTTAAAAAAAACATATTTTTATTGATTTTTTACAGAGAGGAAGGAGAGAGAGAGAAACATCCATGTGAGAGCAATACATCGATGATTGGCTGCCTCCTGCACACCCCCTACCAGGGGATCAAGCCCGCAACCCGGGCATGTGCCCTGACTGGGAATCAAACTGGCAACCTTTTGGTGCACAGGATGACCCCCAACCGACTGAACCGCAATGGCCAGATCTCAGCATAATGCTTTTGAGAGTCATTAGTTGTTGCCTATATATCAGTAGTTCATTACTTTTTATCATTAAGTAGTATTTCAGATTTGTTTATCCATTTACTAGTTGATGGATATTTCTAGTTTTTGTTTATTACAAGCAAAGTTTCTATAAACATTTGCATACATGTCTCATGTAGACACATGTTTACATTGCTCCTGGGCAAATACCTGGGAGTAGGGTTGTGGGTCATATGTTAAGTGTATGCTTAACTTCATAAGAAAAACTTTTCTGAGATGCCTACCATTTTGCATTCCTGTCAGAAGTGGTGGAGAGTGCCAGGTCCTTTGTATCTTCATAAGCACTTAGTATTGTTAGTTTTAAAACTTTAGCCTTTGTAGTAGGTGTGTAGTGGTATGTCATTGTGGTTTTAATTTTGCATTTCCCTAATGACTGATGATGTTGAACATCTTTTCATATTTTTATTTACCTTTCATGTATCTTTAGTGAAGTGCTTTTCATTTTTTGTCTATTTTTCAATTGGGTTATTTATCGTCTTACTGAATTGTAATAGTTTTTATATATTCTTTTTTTTTTTTAATATGTTTTTATTGACTTCAGAGATAGGAAAGGAGAGGGGAGAGAGAGTTGAAACATCAGTGATGAGAGTCGTCATTGATTGGCTGCCTCTTGCATGCCCCCAACTGGGGATGGAGCCTGCAACCCAGACATGTGCTTTACATGTTCTTGATATAAGTTCTTTATCATATATGTGTGTGTGTGTGTGTGTGTGTGTGTGTGTGTTATAGATTTTCTCCCCTGCTGGTATTGTTTGCAACAGAAAAGATTTTCATTTTGATGAGGTCCAATTTATCTTTTTTTTTCTCTCACTTTATTAGTCATGTTCTGTTTTATCCAAAAAGTTAAATAATTGCTGTCTTGAAGATTTTCTCTCATGTTCTCTTCAAGAAGTTTTATACATTTTTTGCTGTTATGTTTAGATCTGTGTTCCATTTAGAATTATTTTTATATGTAGTACAAGATAAGGATTAAAGTGCCTTTTTTGCATATGGATGTCCAGCTGTCAATTCAACAAATATTAATTGATTTGAACACAAATAGATATGAACAGTCTCAGCCTGTTAAGAATATCCTGGGATGGTGTGAAAGAAAAACTTGTAAAAAATGAAATTGCAGCATGGTACGATAGGTGGAATTATAAGAATATATAGTTTAATATTCAGATCCTGGCTTTACCACCATCCTGGCACAAGGGTTCAATAAATGGTGGCTTGCATACATCTTAAAGCATTTTAGGTTAAGTCTAGTGTATGTAGCAGTATGCTAGACATTAAATGTTGTTCCTGTGCAAAGACTATCTTGTTTGGTATTCTGTCCCTATTCCCTGGCACTTAAGAACTCAGCATACATTTATTGGATGAAAGGTTACAGTTAAAATTGTAGTGCAGAATATATGAATTAGATTATATGACACATGAGGAAAATGAAAGTTGTGTTTTCCAAAAAGTTTTCATGTTATTTTTGTTAGGTTTTTGCATCTAGAAACCAATAATGAGTAAGTCAAGCAATATTTGTGTTTCCACTGTGTGCTTGTTATTTTATAGGCTCGAATAAAAGAAGTTGTAATTTTGTAAGTCAAATATTGGCAATTTCCTATCACTCAACCCATATAAAGCCCTAGATCTTGCTACCTCCCTCTTTGTTAAACTGCTGTTTCTTGTTTCACCATTAGTAAAAATAAATAGAAACAAAATAAAACAAACTAAAAAAACACTTATTGTATGGACTAAATATTTACCACATGCTTGGCACTATGCTTAACTTAAGAAATGGTTCCTCTAGCCCTTGAGGAACTTACAGATGAGTAGGGGTCAGTGTAAACCAGTGATTATAATTTTTTGTGATAATTGTAATAGAAGAATACAGTAGGTAGCCTGGTGAGAGAATTTCTGTTGTGGCTC